CCACTCCCAAGATGAAGCTGCTCTCTGTAGTGCTTTGCCTGAAGAAGACTTTACTCTGAACTCTGCCTAACAACAGTTGCTTTTCCCTGCTCCACTTCTCCATGACAAGCCCTTTCCCACAAGGCAGACAGTTTCATATTGTGGTGCAAAGGGACCTCTGTCCAGCTAGCATCTATAAAAGGATGAATAAGAAAGCAGCAGTGCACAATGGAACCGTGCATAATGATAGTTAGCCAAAAGTACTTTTATTAAAAGCTGCTTAGAGGGAAATGAAACAATAGCTTTTGGGGTGGGGGTAATTAATAATGCAGTCATTAAAACATTTAAAACTACCAAGGTTTAAAACATTTGTACTTCTGAAAGTAGCACATGAAATCCTAGCAGGGTAAGAATAATTTCAATCAGCACCAAAGCCTGACACCTCCCCCCACCCTTCATACCCTGTTGATTACACTTTGCAACTTAAGGATAATTAGCATCTTTTGTTTAAGAACTTAGAGAACAATTCACTTGGTGCAGAGATGTCTGTTATCTGAGAACCCCTCACCTGATGTTGGTGTGAGCTTTCATTTGTTTCTGGTTTTCTCAAACAGTGTTTCTATGCCACTGGTAGGGGTTTTCTGTTTTTATTGTTTTACACACACACACACACACACACACACACACACACACTCAAGGGAACCCCAAGGACACATCAGTGAATCTCAGCTATGGCTTGTAAATACCATGAGTTGCAGACACTCTCCATGATGGATGAAGAAACCCAGGCCCTTACACCCTTGGATTCTCAACAACAGATGGCCTACCAGAGGCTAAGAGCAAAATCTTGGATAGAAGAGAAGGTGGTAGTGGCCATTTCCACATGTCCTAGAGGAACTGGTTCATTGGTATAGGAAGGATACTGTGCTCATCTGGCCCTCCATGAGATGTGCTAGCAAGGATGCAATCAGAATGCTGTCTAGTACAGGAAGAAAATGAATGCCTTGAGAAAGAAGGAAATCACTAGCCACAGCAAACACTCAGGAGTGGGGTCCAGGATGATGCTCTTCAGTGATTAGCAGTCTTCTATAGACAAGAAAGATGTGACTCTGTGCTACACCTCATGGAGTGACAACATTGTTCCCAATCAAGTGTCAGAGGGCTAATTCTAGAACAACTGCAAAGGAAACCTTCAGTCAAGCCCCATCACTGCACCATTGTCCTCTGGCCAGACAAGGCAGACCCGTTTTCCCATCCTAGGATTCTCTGGCCAAGGAGAGCTACCAATTCTGCATAAACCAACACTGCGTGATTCTACAGTCAAAAGCAGTCCAGGTGCCCCTGGATCCTGGCTTTTTCATGCAAAGTGGACAAAGCTGCTTGGGTTGACCATGTGTAGGGTGACAACATGTCTGCAGCCCAAGGTTAGTCCAAGCTCTATCTCTGAGGATCTGAAGATAATACCATCAGAAGAGCAACTGTCAAACATCGCCATGGTGTATCAAAGGGCTCTACCACCAATAGGGTCTACAGTGTTGCTCCAGAATGAAGACTTCAACATTCTTCTATCTTAAAAGTATGAAGAGGAAAAGTGAGAGCCATAGCAGACTCAAGAGGAACATCAGCATATTTTGCTGGACTTGGTATCGGGAAGAGAGTTCAAGAAGGCAACCCACTGGAAGTACCTTACCTACAATGTGTTGGCACTTAGGATGCTATCAGATAAGACCAACACTGGAGAACAGATGGTTGACTCAGCAAAACTTGACATCCAGCAGGCCTTGACAGACAAACCCCTGCCTCCACCTTTGGATTTGAACAGAGAGCCATTCCTGCTTTGGAGCATACTCGCTCTAGGGATTTCTCTCAAGGTAAGCTTACTCCATTCCCAATCTAAAGTCATCTTTGGGATGCTGACTGCCAGAGAACAACTTACCATCATCTCAGAAGCACCCTCGGTTCTAATTATTTCATTATCCTCTTTCTTACAGGATCTTTAGGTATCATAGATGAACAAGAAGAACCTGAGAAGTGCACTGTCCTTGAGAAACATGCTGAAGAGGAGGCAGCGCTAGTTTTGCGAAGGAGGCCCACTGACCTAGGTCAGCTAGGCTTAGGAACAGGAAGAAGGTGGATCAGCAGCAGCTTGCCAAGAATTTAGTTAAGACCACTAAGGACACTGGAAATAGAATTGCATAAACTTTTTATGGGCTTGATGACCGAAAACCTCAACAGAGATTTCAGAACTGTCAAGTTTTGACATAGTACGCATGTGAACACATGGCTGAAACCATGGCATCAGCTGTGAGAGAATCTGATGCTGTCTTCAAGAGGTACATGGTACAGAGAGCAGCCTTAAGACTGTATAAAGGTATGCTTCCGTTGTGGAGTGCAGTGTGGGTTACATGACATAGCACTACATGCAAGTTAGCTACCACCTCACCCAAATCCCATTCTTCAGTTTCAGCGGCATCCTCTTACCACCATTAATCTCCCTCGGAACCTTGCAAAGTTGTAAATGTGGAATATTCACCATAGGAACAAGTCACTTTTCATTGAGTTTGCTTTGTATTACAAGCTTAGTATGGAACAGCACTACTTGTTACCGTTTGAAAGTCAGGTTAAGGAACTATTTAAGTAAAGATCGAGCAAAGTGTGGTTGGGCTTACTCCCCTAACAGTAATATAAAGAACATTGCACAAAAATGCTTAATTCTTTAAGTGAGCCATTATTGTAAGTTATCTCCTTTAAATTAGTAGGTTTAATATTTACTTTTCTGTAACTGCACTGGTTTGTAATATCTACTGCTGAAAAGACTGTGGTTTAAGATGCTTACTTCTTTAAATGTATAGGGGTAATTAGAAGTTTGCTCTTCAAAATAGTTTTATACTGAAAAATATGTACTTTGGTACTTGCTCTACCTTTACTGTTTAAACATGACGAGACCAAAAACATGTATGCAGTCATGTTAATGTGTTTTCTCTCTGTCTGTGGGGTGGAGACATTGATCAAAGGTGAGGAGAAGCAACCAGAGGTGGTGATGCCCACAGCTGACTCTCAAAATTCCCAGTGTGCCTTGGGCTCAAAACTGTTAGCAGCACTTGGCCTTTGGGAAGCAGGCATAGCCACGTTGCCTAACTATGTTTGCTCTCAGTAACTGTTGTATTGTAGTGAAATCTGGTTGGTTGGATGATGACAGCACTGTTACTAGGATAAGAGTCTGTTTCAAACATCAGTATGTGCAAGCTGTTTGACGTTTCTGTTATTTCTGTCTCTGATTGTGGCTCAGCTTTCATGGCAAACAGGGAATGAACCGTTCTCAATTCATACCAGTGATGTCATCCAGACCTTGGGAAGCAATTTCCTGCTTTGGAGTAGTTTCACTATGTTGGCTCTTCTTCTGGTTACTGTTAGGGACTTGCTTTGAAATTTCTCCTGTGACCAACTGCTGTGGAGTGTTCCGAAAAAACGTTTTCTTTTTTCCAAGCTGGTTACCATCAAAGGCCCATTTTAAAATTGAGCTTTGAGAAAGGAGCCATACAAACTGCCTACATGCAATCTTAGCAGTTAAAGAAGACCTTTCATTTCTTTTTCTCTCTGTGTATTCATTTTCCCATAAGGATTCTTTCCCTTCTGCCCTGTTCCCTCAGGCATAATGTTTTATCTTCTTGCAATTCTCCTTTTTATTTCTAATTTGCATATGAATATGAGTAAGGGCTAGTTTATACAGACCTTTCCTAGCTAATTAATATTTCTGATCTCCATTGTGGAGGTTTGGAAGCACTATTTCAGCTCACATTTGTAATTTGGAACAATTGCTTCCCTGCAGCCAGAATTTCAACACCAGAAATCCCATGAGATACCAGAAACTTCTTTTTTCACTGTCTCGGAGAGACACTGTGCATCAGATATAGACAGTTTCATGAAAGGCTGTTAAACTGGTTTTCAGTATGGTTTCTTTCTAAGCATTTTCAAATGATGACAGAGAAGTTTTTCTTTCATAATAATTTTCAGCCAATTAATATTTATACTGTGAGCTACTTCAGGTTATAATAACACTGTTCATGAATGAGGTGGTGATATCTACAGTAGTTCATTGAATGGCCAATTTGGTGGTCCAGTCTTTTGTTGAGCATCCTATAGAAACTTGTACTCAAGCAACGTCTTTATAATGGAAATTGGATCAAATTATCATAGTCTCAAATTTAATTTATTTTTTTTTAAAAAAAGCAGGGTGATGAAGGAAAAACGAGTAGAGACGTCATGGATTGGTCTTAGGCATTATGGTATGATGATGGTGCTAGCAAAGAGGGTTCAAAGGATTCAATCCAACTGACTGATCTTTAAATGCTTTCCTCATTTCCCCCCTAATGCTTTCTTAATGCTTTTTTTAGGCCTTCGTCACAACAAAATATGCAAAAACAAACAAACAAACCCAAACCCTTCTGTTAAAAGCAAAGTAAAATTAACGCTGAATTTATATTTTATTTTGTGACTTATAATATGCTGCTTTATTGTGTATTGTTGTGACTTCATAGTTTATTGTCTATTAGCCAGCTTGGGCACTGAAGATGTGTAGGTAGAATACAAAAATATTATATTAAATAACATACCACTTAAGGCACCTGAACAGCCTGTATCCTAGGCTTCATTTCTAAACCCTATCTTGGTTTTCAGTTGCCCGTGTGGCCAATATAGGCAGAAGTTCAGGCTGTGCAGCTCATGCAGCCACCTTCCTGCAACCACTAAGGTAGTGCCTTTGAGATAAATGACCCGTGCCATGACTAAAGAGTATAGGAAGGCATCCTTTGGATAAACAGTTACCCTTTGGATAGGCTAGAACTATTCATTTCTGCTTTACAATCTGCACCAGTATCATTAGTAATTTAATTGTTGATGAGTTGAATGGTTCTCTGAGCTTTGGCATCTCCTAACTAGTTTTGTTTCCAGAAGATTTTCTAGATACTGGTAGTTAATCAGTAGGAAGACTTAACTGTTGTTTGTTTTAATTTCCTATGAAGGTGGCTGCAATTAACCCTAACCATCCACTGGCTCAGATGCCCTTGCCTCCTTCAATGAAAAATTGCATTCAACTGGCAGCATGTGAAGCCAGTGAGTTGTTACCGATGATCCCTGACCTGCCAGCTGACCTGTTCACATCCTGTCTTACTACGCCAATCAAGATTGCACTGAGATGGTGAGTGACTTGTCTGCTATTTGGAGGAATATTGCATGTTCTATGAGCCTTGCCTGTTGGACTGATAGACTTGTTGACCCAAATACTTCAACTGCTCTAAAATAGCTCTGCAGTACTAAATTACAAGGATTGAGGTGTTCATCTGGGAGAGTATCTTATTAAGCATACTTTCACCTTCTTGGCTTTGATTATCCTTCTGTTTATTACGTTTTGGATTCTAGCTGGATATTTGGGTTTGCTCAGATTAAGGGACTTACTGTGCTGGAAATTAAAATAGTCTGCCTTTTCACAAATCAGAAATACCATATGGTACAACACAATGTTATACCAGTAGACCATTTTCCAGACAAGCTATAGCGCTGATCCTCAAGTTCTTCTACTTGTGCATATTTCGTTTATTCCACAGGAGGTTTTCAGTGGTACTACGCTTTGAGGATTGGGGTGTAAATCCCATATGTTACAAAAATGCTTCAAATAAGCTAGTTAAGCAATAGCATGGAGTACAAAAATTCACAGGCATAAACAAAAGAGAAGATAATTTGAAGTGATGTGGCCTTCTGCCGAGGTGGAGAGAGATGAAAGCATATTCTAAGAAGTTTACACTACCAAAACAAGTGGAACACCAGATATCTAATAGCTCTGATGCACAAACAAGTTTAAAGCTTTAGTAAATAGAAAGAGTGTCCAGTGCTTTCTTTTCCTCTTTCTGTTTTTCATGTCACCCTGTAGAATTAAGATTTTTTTTTGTCAGCTCTTCTGCTTTTGCAATATTTGTGAAATTATTGCAGTTGAGTTGCAGTGTCAGTTTTGTATGCATATCCTGGCTTTCCACTCTGAACAGCTTTGCACTTTACATGACAAACCCAATTGCTTTTGGTAGCAAACTTTTAAAAGTGTGGACAACAGCATGCATGTATTTTTAAATAGTTGTGGGGAGCTCTGGTCCAGTCAGGATTCCCAGATGGCTATATGCCATCCACACTTACCATATTTTCTCAGGAAATGGTGATGTAGTGCTGGTGAGCATAGAGCAATCAGGTGTGCTGTGTGGAACAGCCCTTTGGTGAAATCTGCAATGTCTATTTTCCTTAGCTGTGAAAGTCCCACATGGTACGTTGCCAGTCTGCTATAAACAGAAGTTAAAAGCCTTATGCTGCTATGTCTTTATGTTCACTGAACTCAAAATATTTACTGTGAAGTGGTCTTAAGTTCATTTGGGATTTTTTTTTTGGGGGGGGGAGTAGTTTGAGGATTAGAATGTTAAGGATGTTGAGGTCCTAAACGCTTTTTAAGGCTGATGTTTTTATTATGTTTTTAGATATGCTGTAAGCCACCCAGAGTAGCTGGGGAAACATAATAATAATAATAATAATAATAATAATAATAATAATAATAATAATACTATATATTAAAAGAAACCAGTGCTTAGTTGACAAGTCCCAAGAAGAAATGTCAGAGTGTAGCTCGTTCACATGAATTAGTGTATAAACTAGCCAATGTAATGTATGTGCTGTTTTCACCATCGGTGTCAATCGTCCTATCATCTTACATTTCTGTCCTGACTTCTCCAAAATTTGTTTTTGAGGTCTCAGGATTCAAAATGCAGAAATCCATTTATAATACCTGAATAGAGTGGTTGATTGGTATATAATATATAGGCCAGGGTTTTCTTTCATGCTTTCCTATTGCTTTCCTACAATAGACCCTGATAATTTTTATGAAGCCATTAAAAATGATAACACAATTCATATAATAGATATGTGTTAGTCATTGTTCATTATATTAACATTTTATATCAGAAGTTACTAGCCTCAATTACTTGATATTACTTCCCATATGATGGTGTGGTGCCTCTGAGTACCAGGTGCGGGGGGTTTGGGTGGGATAATGCTATTTTACTTATGTCCTGCTTTTGGACTTCCCATTGGTATCTAGTTGGCCATTGTTAGAACAGAATGCTAGACTAGATGGGACTTTTGTTCTGATTCAGCGAGTTTTTATAATATTTTAATAACAGAACAGTAAACCAATTGTTTGCTATCACTTAACCTGTTCAGTAGGAGGTGATTGTCGAGTGGATTGATAGACTATTACCAGCAAACGCTTTTGCCATTTTTACCATATTAACACTTCCTTGAGATGGTTGCTCAGTATCAGTCACTTTTTTGCAAGACTGTTTTTATACACCCCATCCCAGAGAGGGAAATAAACAAGGAACAATAAAATGGGTCTGTGCTTATAAGGAAATCATATATATACAGTAATTTTTTTGAAAAGCAATTCTAGAGAGACCTTTTAAGTTATATGATTGATGTATGGGAAATTTTTCTTTTCTGTGAGCAAGTTCTTTGTATAAAGAAGGAAGGAAATTCATGGCTATATTTCTGTGGAACTCAAATAGGATGAATAAAAACCCATCTGGATTTTCTTTCCTCCAAAACCCATATAATTATCTCAAGACTTTTAGTGCACCAAATTAAGCGTAAGTACAAATAGTTCAGCAAAACCTTTGTCCCTGGTAGAAATCTGTATTTAGTGGCTTCAGTTTAGAAACATAAATATCAATCTATATCCAAAGATGTGGCATAAATGAAATAGCACCAGAATGTTTTTAAGGAGGGATACTTCTGTGGTAGCCTTGAGTCTGAGAAATGGATTTGCATTTATTCATGTGATTTTGTGATTGATTCTATAATTCTATGGCGGGGTTGATAAGGGTTTATATCATCTGAAAGATAACACCTCTAGCATCTCAGTGCCTTCAGCAACATTCTAGTACGAAATGAGGTAGTCTTATGGAATATTTTGTTCCTTTTCTGTGTCTTGTTTTGTGGTACAACCTTAATGATATTTATATAACTTCAATTTGCTTTGACATCATTCAGTGAATGAAGAGTGAGCAAATAATACTGTGTTATACACGAGAGCCTGAGTCAATACAGTACAGCAAATAAACCATGACAATTTTTAAGCCTAGTTACCATATTCATTGTTTCTAAGTCTGCAGCTTGTTTGAGCACATTTCTGCAGCTCAAGGAATACATTGGGGAGTTAGATTGTAGCTGGATTCTGCAATATTCAAAACACCCTTAAAGTCTCTGCTTATTTTTCCTGATTTATTATGGATATTGGAGCATTTTGCTTTGTGTTCAATATGTGTGCAAAATGAGTGGTTGTTACATGTTATTGAGGAAGGTAGGGGGGGGATATGTCATAAATTAATTAATTTTTATCCAACCATACTTTTCTGTTAGTGCAATATATTTCTGCTTGCAGAATTGAACTTTTTCCTCTTCTCCTTTCCCCTGTAACTCCCTGCATGCCATCAAAATCAGTTATGGAGGATTAGCAGACCCTCTGGAGCAGATTTGGGGGGGGGGTACGGAGGAGTGGAGAGGAAAATCCCATTGTGCAAATGGATTTCTGCCCACAGAGCATTGGCTACAACCCACAATGTTTAAGTGAATAAATGAATCTGCATTTTTTTTAATGCAACAGATACTGCTTTTCTTTATCTGCTACATTTATCTCTTGTCCTTCCTTCAAAAAATTCAAGGCAGGGTACTTGCTCTTCCCTTCCCTATTTTGACCTTTGAGCAGCTTAGGCTGGGAGAGAGTGACTTTGTCCCTGTCTTACAAGAGGACCCATCAAGAGCATTTTGCCTTTGTTTAAGGGAAGTCTGCTGACTTCCTTCCTCCCAATATGTTTCTGAGCACAATTCAAAGTGTTGTGCTGACCTTTAAAGCCCTAAACCAGGGGTCAGCAACCTTTTTCAGCCATAGGCCAGTCCACCGTCCCTCAGACCATGTGGTGGGCCGGGCTGTATTTTTTTTGGGGGGGGATGAACGAATTCCTATGCCCCACAAATAACCCAGAGATGCATTTTAAATAAAAGGACACATTCTACTCATGTAAAAATACGCTGGTTCCTGGACTGTCTGTGGGCCGGATTGCGAAGGCAATTGGGCCGCATCCAGCCCGTGGGCCTTAGGTTGCCTACCCCTGCCCTAAATGGCCACGGTCCTGTATATCTGAAGGAGCGTCTCCACCCACATTGTTCAGCCCAGACACTGAGGTCCACTTCCGAGGGCCTTCTGGCAGTTTCCTCACTGCGAAAAGGGAAGTTACAGGGGACCAGGCAGAGGGCCTTCTCGGTAGTGGCGCCTGCCCTGTGGAATGCCCTCCCATCAGATGTCAAGGAAATAAACAACTATCTGAGTTTTAGAAGACATCTGAAGGCAGCCCTGTTTAGGGAAGTTTTTAATGTCTTACATTTATTGTGTTTTTAATATTTTTTTGGAAGCCGCCCAGAGTGTCTGGGGAAACCCAGCCAGATGGGTGGGGTATAAATCATCATCATCATCATCATCATCTGGGTCTTACTGCCCACAACCCTAAACATTTAGTGCCAGCCTGTCTCACCATTCACTACAAGAAGCATCAAGGAATGGATCAATGTCAAACAAACAATCCTCCCTTGTTTGTAGTAATCAGTCCTCTTTTGTGCAACTCTGCAGTGAGGTATGTTATTTGTATTGAATGTACCCGTGTATATAACATAATGAAATGTAACTTTTCTTGGAATTTATAAGTTTGGGGTGGTGACGGTGGATCTGTTCTATTTAGTAATTAAGGCCTGGATTGATTGGAGAGAGGAGGATGAAGCTGTTGGCAGAAAAGTGAAATTCCCTCGTATTGATGATAGCAGACTGAATGCTTATTTTTATTTTATGTTATTTATTAATAAATAATTAATAAACCTAGTACATCTCAAAGGAACCAGAAGGTAGGGAGTGCAGTTCCCTTGCCAGTTCTTTCTCTTCCAAACTTGAAAATGCTATAAAAGATTATTATTTGTGCAAGGGAGTTTAACAGCTATTGAGTCAAGCTGCCCACGCTCCAATCTAGGCTTCGTAGCTCACAACCAGAGGCATGGAAAGTGTCTCTGGAAAAGTACTTTTCTGTCCTTGGTATCATTGAACTGCAAAGAAATCAGGTG